AAAAGGACAGTTCTGCAGCCGCAGCCATGGCGGAAATGCAGCCTGCCCTTTTTAAAGCTGTCATTACCAAGTACCAAGTATGTGCCAAGAATTCTGTTTTGTCTCATACAATCCTTAGAAAAACCTCAGCAGGTTGGGACCAATACTATCCCCACGTTACAGATGCAGTAACAAGGCTTCCATTGGTTAACAGACTTGCCAACGGGAGGCAGGGACCCCCAGTTGCCTGACTCCCAGGCTGGGGTGCTCAGCCACTGCATCTGAGCCCACCTTCACCTCTCCCTGGTCAGGGGATCCCTTTCCTGGCTGGGCACAGCCCCTGAGGGAACCAATGCACTGGAAGGGGGAAGGGAGGACCCAGCCAGGAGAAAGAGGCACCCACTGAGGTCCCCCCGGGAGGAAAGGCCCTTCTGGAAAGGCAGGAGAAGGAGGGCCCTAAGAGCACGCCCAGGGGCACAAGCAGAGCCTGCCGCCGAGACCGACTGGCTCCCAGGTAGTAGCCGGGCACACCCACTCCCGCAGCCTCACTCCAGTACCTGCGTAGTGGTAGTCAGCCAGCGGGTGAGTCGGTGGCTTCTGGGGTCCTCTGAGTAGCAGGGTCTCTAGGGCCACCTGGAGCAGGAAGGAAAGCAGGCGACTTTCTGAGGGAGGGAAGGTGAGGCGGAGGCCTGCCTTCATCCTTTCATTCATTTGAAAAGCACTGACAGGCCCCCCTAAAGCCTCCCTCGCTCCAGGGCTATCAGCGCGTGGTGGGGCCATGGACTGGCCACGGCCTGTGAGCTGCAGTGGACATACCAGCTCCGTCACTACGCATACTGCTGAGTGCAGCTGGGTTTTTCTCAGTAGGGTTTTCTCAACGAAGGAAGCAGTGTGCGGATTTATTCCAGCACCAGCTCTTTCCTTCATCAAGGACTGGCATTTGCGGGGGCCCTGCCTGTGCCACGCCCCATTGTATTTCCTTCATAGCACTAACCACTAACAATTTTTGAAAACAGATTTCCCTTTGTCCTAAAATTAAAATGTAAGCCCCACGGAGAAGGATTTTGTCTCGCTCACCAGTGTCAACCCGATTGGGACGGGCCGTGGAACCTGCAGGGCCCAGTGCAGAATGAAAACGCAGGCCCCTTTTAGAAAATTTGTTAATTTCAAAAATGGTGGAGGCAGAGCATTAGACCGAGGGGGGCCCCAAAGCCGGCCCTGCCCCAGGACCACAACACTCATGAGGGCCAACACACATGTGCTGGTTCCTTGGCTGAGCACCTACTCGGCACCGCCCACTGCCTTGCAACCTGAGGAAAAGCACAGTTGCCGACACTGACTCCTGGGGCCCTAACTTGGGTGACATGACCTCCCTTCCCACTACTCAGAGTGGGACGTTTTATTTTCTAAACTTCAGGATTGTGAAGCGGGTCCTTGGAGGAAGCAGATATTTTTGTTGCATCAGGGGTTTTCGTACGTGGGTTTTTAATCAAAAAGATAAAGCTCCATCGATAAACCAGATCAGTGCAGGACCTGAGTCAGTCTACTGGGCTCCACTCCCCCTGCCCCTGCGATCTCGGAGGAACCTGGTGCTCTGCTGCTGCCCCAGGTAAATAACTGACTAACTGGGCCCCATCTGCACACTTGCCCTACAACTGACAACGACATCAACCCCACAGCCACTGGGGAGAAGGATGGGTGGCCTTTTTCAGTTTTCATGAGCCGCAAAGCCTGCAGATGGCACGTTACATGCACCAGATCCCCAGCCTCAGCACGGCAGGGGCATCCCAGGGACCCGCCAAGCCCGCCCCTGCCTCCAGCTCACCGGGACTTCGCCCTGGGCCTCGTGCAGGCAGTGCAGAGCGAGCTCCAGGTTGGTGCCCCCTCCTGGCATCGTGCTGGAGCAGGCCAAG